AAAACATCTGTCCTACTCGAGGCGTTATTCGCCCCCACCTACGTCTGGGTGACTAATTCAAAGCGTAAGCTTTTGAGTGTCATGGTCACCCGTTTGCTATATGTACCATGACTCTGGTCCGACCAATCTACCGTCACCCAACTAGCTCCGGTCCCCGCCGTCTCTATCCTATTTCTATCCCTAATACCAAGTCTGTGATTTGCCATGCCCTAGTCTCTTGTGTGTCAACCTACAAGTTTATCCTTGCAAGTCTCTTTGATGAATTGTAGTGTAGTGCTAAGAATGGAAAGAATCACTTACGATGCCAGCGAAACGTCTAAGAATGTACTAAGTCCACGGTCCGAGTCTGGAAATTGTAATGCATACTATGGAATCTGGATAAGATGCGTTCTTATAGGTCTTCCTGCCAATACGACCAAGTTGCGAAAACAAGATCAAATAACTTCTATACAACAAAAGGAGACCGCGACCATACAAAAAGCCACACCATCCTGGTCTTCATATCTTCGACATCCTCTTTTTGCTGTCCTTGCTGAATCTCAAAGTCTGCCCAGGCAGTATTCGAAATCCTTGCTGACTCTTCTTACTACCAATCTCCTGTTCATCAATGTTCTTTGTAGAGGATATCCATGGTTTCCCTGACATTCCGTTTTCTGGTGTGTTTTTCATGTAATGCCACTCTTACAGTTGCATTTCAGTCAATTGTGTGGCCGGTCAGGGCAATATTTTCAGCTATCTCCGATCTTTCTCTATCCATTTTTCTGCATAGTCACTGGTGTTCCTTATTCTTTGTGCTGATTATTTTTTCAATCTCTCTGATGTACTTTTGCTTACATTCCTTTCAGTTTAGGCTGTAAACTCCGGATAGCTCTATTACGTTTGGGAGAAAAGCATAAAACGAAAAATCAGAAAGGCCGTGGACATCATTCATTAAAAAAACCTGATTAACAGTAAATTGGAAGAGAATTTCGCCTATTTGCTGTGCACACTTGAAAATTCCGCAAGGATGGCAAAAAAAAGACGCTTATACCAAGGGTAACTATTCAAGAATAGAAAGAGACATCGCCAAGAAGAGGATCATGAGGGATAAAGGGACTAGAAAAGGATATTGTAGTGAGTGGAGTCAACCCTGGGATCAACCTGAAACTACCGGTGTGGGTCCACCTGTGGGATGGGAGATAGGAAATTAAAGGCCAGAAACATGCCGATTATGTCGTATATAAGAAGATAAAGATAGTACGACCTTTGGTGTGGTAGATAGCGCGATGGTGTGCACAATATCAGTTGGTCCTCAGTTTGCGTGTGTGCTCTAATGAGAGGTAACTGGTGCACGCCTGACTAGATGGGATACCAACTAAAGTACAAATAAACAACTGACAAGAATCTTAGGGTTAAATGGGGCTGTCAACTTGAGAGAGAAGACTTTGCTTTACGCGATTTAGGAGTGGAAAAGGTAAGCGGCACATTTTCACACGAGCGGTTCCGACTTAAACCGGACACAAAGCCCCAAAGAATGAGAAACAATAAGGATGGGGATCAGGAAGAGGATAATTGGATCATGAGTTTGAAGACTAGAGAGATGAAGATATGGGCATCACCAGCTAGACAATGATAAACATGTATAGCAAAAACCAATTGGAAGGTGGAAATGGAAGTGGGGAGTGCTAAAGGAAAATAAGAAGCCATGACCCCAAATCCCTGCAAACGGAATTTGAAAGCGATGATGAACGTGACTACGCTTCACTAAATCCACTTTTAGTGATACACTCTTGGGCTGTATTGGGGGAAACGAGAGCACAGAATGGTGTGAATAGGTAAATGTGCCATATAAAGTGGAATTAAGAGAAAGAGATGCAAGACTAGAAGGTAGGACAAAAAATATTGGCGAGGAGTAATGCTACAACGATTTAACTGAAAATTTGTCAGAAGGATTGCCTTGACTTGTCACATTAACAAGTTGTAACTCTCGGCTAACGATGGTGCCGCTCAATGATGATGCCGGCGAAACGTCAATGAATGTACCAAATTAATGGTCTGATGCTGGAAATCGCGAATACTAAGGCAGAGGACGCAGGACTAAGCACGTTCCACAAGGTCTCCCTGACGCGCCGACAAAGTTGCGAAAACGAGGTCAAAAGAAGACTATACAGCAAAAGAAAACTGCGACCAAACAGAAGGCCACACCATCTTGATTTTCATATATACGATTTAGAAATAGTATACCAAATAAAAGCCAACTAACCATTTAGCATCAAGTTCGATGAGGCGTCTTATATCGTAGCCCATTTGAATACTCTCTATTTCGCATTCAGGATAGGCCTCGC